GTAGGCAGGTTAAGTTCGTAAATGGGCCAAGTAGGTCCAAGTTATCATATAGCCCCCATATAACGGTACCTCCTGATATTCGGTATTTTGAGGATTTTAGCGACATTATTTACCGGAATTTTTTCAAATTTGGCATTTGAAGTTCGTAATGGATACTACATCCTAAGTCAGAAAATGACCCATGTAGGTCTACGTTTTCATATAGCCCCATATAACGGTACCCCCCGATATTCGGTATTTTGATGATTTTAGCGACATTATTTAACGGAATCATTCCAAATTTGGTATTTGAAGTTCGTGATAGATACTGCAGCATAAAACAGAAAATGAGCCGTGTAGGTCCACGTTTTCATATAGCCCCCATATAACGGTACCCCCCGATATTCGGTATTTTGATGATTTTAGCGACATTATTTACCGGGATTGTTTCAAATTTCGCATGTGAAGTTCGTAATGGGTACTTCAGCCCATGCCAGAAAATTGTCTGTGCAGGTTCACGTCTTCGTATAGCCCCCATATAACGGTACCCCCTACATTCGGTATTTTGATGATTTAAGCTACATAAAAACAAAATTTTCTTCAAGTTTCGCGTTTAAATATTGTGATAACTTATGACAAAAGTCGCCTATGCAGGTCCCCGTCGTCGTATAGGCATTCGGTATTTTTAATATTTTAACAGAATTTTTAATGGATTTCATTTTTTTGGAAATTGTCAAATTTGTACCAAATGGTGGAGGGCATTACACTTACAGCTTTTTTACATGTTTATGTTGTTTTCGTTGACGTATATAGCCAAATATCGTAGACAAGCATATCATATAGATGAGTCTAAATTTGGAGATACAGAAGGGTCTCTTGCTCTTGAAGATGATCGCAAAATATGAAAAACAGAAAAAAATTCCTGTTCACACAATTGAAGCCAATCGGCACGCCTGAGAAGAGAGCTGAGGACTGGGAAGAATTCTAGCATTTTGGATGACTATTGGATTATATTTAACTGTAAATTGGACCACAGCAATTAACAGGACCACGGAGTACGTAAATATTGGGCAAATGTCCCTGGTCAAAATGCTAAGGGTAATATCTGGGCAGTGCTCCGTGACATAATTTCAAAAGCGAAATACTCCAAATTAGATTTGGTCATAAGGGGGTTTCTAAAATACGAGGTCGGCACTGAACCACTTAACCACTGACCACTTTAAAGAAAAATTGAAAAATTGCCAAAAAAAATTCCGTGGAAAACTCCGTTCAAAGGGAAATGGGGGCTATACGAAGACTTATTTCTGCATTGGCTGTAGTACCCATTGCGAAATTTAAACCAATTCGCGTGAATAATCACCAAATCATCAAAATACCAAATAAAGAGAGGTGCCGCTGTATAAAGGCCATACGATATTGTGGACCTATAAAGCAATTCTCTTCCAGGGAGAGAATAACTCAGAAGGAACTCCTGGTGTGGATTTTCAGACAATTCCATTAATAATGTGGCTAAAAACACCAAAATAGCGAATGTCGGGAGGTACGCTTTATAATGGACTATACGATATTGTGAACTTCTTCCAGCAGCAACTTCCTGTGTTAATTTTCAGACAATTCCATTGAAATATGTGGCTAAAATCAACAGAATACCTAATATCGGAGAATACCGTTGTATGGGGCCTATACGATAACGTGGACCCATATAGACAATTTTCTTCCAGGGGAAAGAGAAGGAAATTGTGTGTGGAATTTCAGACAATTTCATTGAAAAATGTAGCTAGAATCATTAAAATACCGATTATCGGGAAATATAGTAGGTTTTCAGACAATTCCATTGAAAAAATTGGCTACAATCATCAAAATAACGAATTTTGGGGGGTTATCGTTGTATGGGGGCTACACGATATCGTGGACTGATATAAATCGTCTTAGGATTTTACGCTGATCATTAGTATAGTACAGTTAGGTCTAAAATTAGTATTTCGCTGAGTTACAAATGGAATGACGAACTTAATATACCATCCATACAATATATGGTGGGTGATATAAAAAATTACGCCAACACAACAACAGGTGCCCTAAAATGATTCATTTATTTTTTTTTATTTGAAAAATTTACAATCCTTTCAAGCTATGTTAAGTGTTTGTTTTAAATTAATATTTTCGTTTTTTATCATAGGTTCAACAAATGACATATCTGGAGACATATTTCGGCGAATCTCTGATGGAAAAAGTTGATACGTATGAAACCCCCAAGGGTATTGTTATCAAGTCAAATCCCTTTGCAGCTGCAGCAGATTTAATTAAAATGAATGCTATATCTACGATTATGTGTCTTATAATAGTTATTTTATAAAAATATAATACATTCAGTTTGATCTTGTCTTATGAGAATTTAAGCAAAAGAGATTTGTTTCAATCGAGTGTAGACTCGACAAAACCACACAGCCGCAAAGAAGATTGAAAACATCAAAAACGGAGATTAAAAGAAACAAGTAAAAAACATTTAATACCCTCCACCTCAGCGTAATGGAAACACTAGAACCAATTATGACCCACAAATACCAATTTTTAGACATATTCGTGGGAAAATGTGCCAAAAATCCCATATAGGGCTATACAAAAGCGTGGACCTATACATACAATATTTCGCCAACGGAGCTGGAACCTATTATGACCAACAAATACCATTTTTTAGAGAAATCCGTAAAAAAAATGTGGCAAAAATCATCAAAATACCGAATATCGGGAGGTACCGTTATATGGGGGCTATACCAAAACGTGGACCTATAATTACAATGTTTCGCCACACGAACTAGGACCCATTATGACCCACAAATACCAATTTTTAGACAAATCCGTGAAGAAATGTGGCAAAATAACTAAAATACCGAATATCGGGAGGTACCTTTATATGGGGGCTATACAAAATCATGGAGCCATACATGCAATGTTTCGCCACCAGAGATAGAAACCATTATGACCTACAAATACCAATTTTCAGACAAATCCGTGAAAAATTGTGGCATAAATCATCATAAATACCGAATATCGGGAGTTACCGTTATATGGGGACTACACCAGAAAGTGGACCGATATATCTCATTTTCAATACCAACCATCCTAGACACAATGCAAATTGCTCTGCAAAATTTTGGCACTCTACGTCAAATAATGACAGACAGACATCGTTAAATCGACTTAGAATTTTATGCTGATTATGAATATATATACTTTATGGGGTCTAAGACGAATATTTAAGGATGTTACAAACGGAATGACAAAGTTAATATACCCTCCTTTCCAAGGTGGAGGAATTTCGCCTACAAATGCATGAGTCATCTATTATATACATATACCAATTGAATCCGGTGCGCTTCGCTACCCCTTGTATGAATTCAAAAATTTATATACGAAAATATGTTGGTTGACAAAAAAAAAAAAAAAAAAAATAAAACAAGTTCAAAAATTAAAAAAAAAAAATATTGTAATACTTTCATGCGTAAATAAACAAATAGCTTGGCTTGGCTTGGCAAACGCGTGAATATGACAGGAACAGCTGGCCATGAGAAAATCAGGAACATGTCAAATTTAGTCCGCATACACGAAGGGTTTGTCCTTCGGATTTATTAATTTCATAGCAAATGCCAAGCGTGCAGGAAACTGCAATCTTTTGAAGTTGAGAGGCATTTCTGTTGCTATTACAGAATTTGAGGTAGCAACATACCTCTCCGTAAAATTATATCTTCGATTGTATTGTTTTGTAGTTTTTTTACCCTTAGCCTAATACCATCGCAAAAGCGTTGTGGATCAATGTTTCTCAATAAAGTCATATCCCAATCTGAACCGACTGCAATATAAATTTGACAAAATTTATATTTAGACCAAAATCCGTCACACCTTACATATTTCATTGAAATCGGTGCTTCAAATATGTGAAATCGGCCGAGAATATATATACGGGAACTTTATCCAAATCTTAAGCGATTTCCAATTAATTTGTCAAATATATTATTGTAACCAAATTCCGCCACTGTATTTCGGACCATTCTGTATTTCATGGGAATCGGTCATATGTATATGTTTTCATTTGTATATAATTTGATGCATCCAACGCGATATGTATGTCCGATTCCAATGAAATTCGGCCAGCGAGACGAAATCTCTATCCAAAAAAACCTCAACTGATTTCAATATAAATCTGCAAAGTTTTTTGGATACAGATTTCAGACATTCCAAGATATATATGGAAGCAATATCTAAATCTGAACCGATTTCAATATAATTTGAATAATTTATTTTCTGGTCAAATCCCGTCACTCATTCTAATTCACATTGGAATCGTACGCACATATGATGTTTGGCGCGTCAAATAAAGAAAATCGTTCGAAAATGTATATGGGAGCTATATTTAAATCAGAACCGTTTTCAATATGATTAAGCAAACAAATTTGTTAGACAAATTCTGTCAGACATTCCAAATTTCATTGGAATTGAACATTCATATCGTATTTGGTGCATCAAATAAATGAAATCGGTAGAAAACATATATGGGAGCTATATCTAAATCTGAACTGATTTCAATATAGTTTGGCAAATTAATTTTTTTTTTCAAAATTCGTTAGTTATTCTAAATTTGGAGACTGTATCTGTAATCGATTAATAGATATGTGTATGTAAAATCTAATTTTTTGGGAGGTACCTCCCATGCCAAGTGGATCGATCTCCAGTTCCAAGTGGAAGTTCAAAAAATTTTATAGCCTATATTACTTTTAGGCGATATTGTAGTTTACTTGTAAAATTTCAGGAAAATCTGTTCAGCGGTTTTTGAGCCCATAAATTACAAACAAACAAATATACAAACATTTTCCCCTTTTATAGATATAGAAGATTTGTTTTATATTTATGTTTAGTCTTACTATTACTTTGGGTTCATTACAACTGAACGTTTAATTCACTTTCGTGACTTTCTACCTAAATTTAAAGTGCATCTATTTTATTACTGAAACATAGACGGCCAACAGAGACAGAGTATACTAAAGGTCGAAAGAGACAAATTTAGCATAAGAAGGTTAAAAAACTAAAACTAAAAAAGGAATTATGTTTTCTTATCTTTGCACTAATTTTTACGTATTGTTCACGTTATAACTTGTTTTGCTTTAAATTCATTTTTACAACAAATCGGAAAATAAATTGTCCGTTTTCCTGTTTCGATTCCCAAGACATTCCGACTTGCGGTCACTGCACCATTACTATTGGTGCTTTTTGCTTTGTGATTTTTTCTCATGTGCCTTTTGGGCAACTTGGAATAAATTCTCAAATGTCGCTTGCCCCGTCTGCTTTACCATTCCCAGGAAAATGCCCACCTTGGATTCACTCAGCAATTCATAGGGTGAACCAAATTCCACAGCTCGGCCAGCATCCATGACCAACACCTTATCAGAATCCATGACGGTATGCAGACGATGGGCTATCGTGAGTACGGTGCAATTTTGGAATTTATGACGTATGGTGGTTTGAATGAGGGCATCCGTCTGGGGATCTACATTGGCGGTGGCTTCATCCATGACAAGAATCCGATTTTCACGTAAAATGGCACGGGCCAGGCAGACCAACTGGCGCTGGCCCACACTGAAATTGGTGCCACCCTCCGAGATTTTGGCATGTAGGCCATTGGGCATGTCGGCCACAACTTGTTTGAGTTTGACCTAACATAACAAAAAATGAATAAATTTATTACAATTCGATTTAAAAGAAATAAAAAAATACCTCTTCCAAGGCCTCCCACAGTTTGGCATCGGAATACTCATCGAATGGATCCAAATTGTAGCGCATGGTACCCGAAAACAACACCGGTTCCTGAGGTATAATTGAAATTTTCGATCTCAAATCATGCAGACCCATATCCTGGGTATCCCTCTTATCAATGACAATTGAACCATCATTGTAAGACAAACGGAAAAGGGCATTAATCAAAGACGACTTGCCAGCACCTGTCCGGCCCACAATTCCCACTTTATCGCATGGTTGTATATTGAAATTCAATGATTTCAAAACATATTCCGATTTGGGATCGGGGGCATAACGCAAGCTCAAATTGTCGAAGGTAATTTTACCCTCCTCGGGCCATGATTTGGGTGGTTTCTTATTGGGCTCGGATTCAAGTTCTCCCTCTGGTTCAATGCTCTCATATTCCACAACACGTTCCACAGATGTCATGGTGTTTTCCATCTCGGCCGACTGACGCATACCCCATTGTACCATGCCGGTTAAACCCATTGCTTGCGTAATGGCCAAGCCAACATCACCTCCATTCTCTGGAGAGAAGAGCAGAAAACTCAGAGTAATGATGGCGAGATAGAGGACACAACAACAATCTAGCCAATAGCCAAAGGCACGACTTGTCGTCAAGAACATGTAGTAGCCGGAACTGTGGGTGTCTTGATAGTTGTCGAATTCTTGTATTAGTATATCCTGGGCTTCAAAGGCTCGTATGGTGGCAAGGCCATTCAATGATGCCCCCAAGTGGGTGTAAATCGGGGAACGAGCTGGAAATTTAAAGGAAATAATTATAGGCAACTATATAGCTTTTTGCTTTATATGTAAAATCTCTTTCTACTTGTAAGAAATCTTAATATAACCCTTTATATCGGCAACAGAACTTATTACTGAATTATGAATAAAACATCAATTTCAAAATATTTTTAAAATATTCGTCTGTACGTCTGTTGTAATCACGCTACAGTCTAAACGAATTAAGATAGGAAGCTAAAATTTTGCACAGATCTCTCTTTTGTCTGCAGGCAAGTTCAAGTTCGAAGATGGGCTATATCGGCCCACGATATCGTATAGCCCCCATATAACTGTACCCCTCATATTCGGTATTTTTATGATTTTAGCCATATTTTTCAATGGAATTGTCTTAAATTCCACACAAGGGATTATTTGTGAGCTGTTTACCCCCTGACAGAGAGTTATCTATATAGTTTAACGATATCGTATAGCCCCCATATAACGGTATCCCTCGATATTCGGTATTTTGATGATTTTAGCCATATTTTTCAATGGAATTATCTGAAAATCCACATAAGGAGTTTATAGGTCCACAATATCGTATATCCTCCCACATATCGGCACCTTCCGATATTAGGTATTTTAAAGATTTTAACAGAATTTTCAATGGATTTTATTTTTTTGAAAATTTTCTAATTCGTTCCAAATGGAAGGCATTCAAAGTTTGGCCCGGCCGAACTTACTGCTTTTTCACTTGTTTTTTTGTTGTTGCATAATGGTCAGGCATAATCCCAATATTTTTGTTTTTTTAAAAACAACGTTTGTTTAAAAGTGGAGAACGATGGTAATGATTTCCAGTGGGTAAGGCAGGGAATACCTAGTTTTCGGAAATTGCGACCAATCCTCATCAGTTTCCTTTTTTTTTGACTTGGATATTCTATCCTGGTGTTACTTTAAAAATAACTCCTATGACAAAAAACTTTTTAACTTATTTACCCTGGGTAAAAAAAGTTTCTTGTCAAGCGAACTGATGCGGATTGTTGGTTATATCCTTGAAAAATATTTTTTATAAATTCACGGTTATATCCTTGAAAAATATTTTTTATAAATTCACGGTTATATCCTTGAAAAATATTTTTTATAAGTCCACGGTTATATCCTTGAAAAATATTTTTTATAAGTCCACGGTTATATCCTTGAAAAATTGTTTTTATAAATCCACGGTTATATCCTTGAAAAATATTTTTTATAAATCCACGGTTATATCCTTGAAAAATATATTTAATAAATTCACGGTTATATCCTTGAAAAATATTTTTTATAAATCCACGGTTATATCCTTGAAATATATTTTTTTAATAAATCCACGGTTATATCCGTGAAAATTTTTTTTTATAAATCCACGGTTATATCCTTGAAAAATATGTTTTTTATAAATCCACGGTTATATCCTTGAAAAATATTTTTTATAAATCCACTGTTATATCCTTGAAATATATTTTTTTATAAATTCACGGTTATATTCTTGAAAAATATTTTAAATAAATCCACGGTTATATCCTTGAAAAATATTTTTTGTAAATCCACGGTTATATCCTTGAAAAATATTTTTTTATAAATACACGGTTATATCCTTGAAAAATATTTTTAATAAATCCACGTTTAGGTCGCTGTTAGTCCTTGAAAAATATTTTTTATAAATCCAAGTTTAGATTGCATATAGTCCTTGAAAGGATATTTTGAAAAGACCACGTTTGGATATCTGATTGTCCTTGAAAAAATATTTTTTATAAATCTATTTAATTTCGCTGCTAGTCCTTAAACCGACGCATAAAATTAAGGTAGCCCTACGAAAATATTTTATAATATTACAAGTAGTCCTTGAAAACAAGTTTACTGAAAAATTCTGTATGTAGTATTGGTAGTCCTTGAAAAATATTTTGTTAAAAATTCCCGTTTTTGTTTTGATCAGTGATATTCTTCAAATAAATATTTTTTTTCTAATTCCATGTTGATAGTTCTTTATGAAGAACATTTTGATTTCTCATACTCACTTATGGCCTCCAGACGTTTGACATCACGCGATGTCTTCAAGTAGAACGAACGCAAAAAGTAGAAAATGACGAACATTATAACTGTGGCCAAAATATTCCAAGGATTGACAATAGCCAGGATTATCACAATACCCAACAAGCCCAAAAATATTTGTATAACATCCATCATGACTTGTGGCAATATTTCATCCACCTGACCCATATCCTTGGAGAAACGATTCAAAATGCGACCCGATGGATTTGTATTGAAGAAATACATGCTGGTGCGCGTTACACTAACAAACATATCGTTGTGGAGTCGTGTCGATGATTTCGAGGCCAAATTGAAGAACATGAAACTACGCAGCATGGCCACAATGACGATGGCCACATTAATAGCGGAAAAAATGTAAATATCCACAGGATCAGTTTGAATTTTTGCGCGAGCATCGACTTCGTGCAACTTGTTTTCATTTTTGTTGACCCTAGGAAAAAAGAAGGAAATTTGGACAATTATAAAACATTCAAATTATTTTCTAAACTTACCAATAAGACAAGAAATAATCACCACCCGAACCAATTGCCTGGGTGCCAACACACAGTATTACCATTATTGCCAAGGTTATATAGCTACCACCACTACTAAAATATTTCGCATACAATTTCCAACCGATTTCTCCATGTTCTCTGGATTCTTCCACTTGCTTGGGCGCCACTTCCTGTACTGACTCCACCGTCGAGGCAAAAGAGGTAACACTTGTATGTCGTTGTCTACTATTTTGACGTTTCATTTTTTGAGCATCTCGATCATCATCAATTTTACCATCGGAGTTCTCTTTCGCTTCGTTTTGCTCCTTCTCATCATCACCATTGCTCAGCAATAGTTGAGCATAATCAAAACCACTTTGACGCATCGATTCATAAGTGCCCACAGCTCTTAACTGTCCCTTATCCAAGATGACTATGACATCAGCTTGTTCCAAAAACTGCAGCTGATGGGTAACGAGAACAACGGTGCGATCACGTAAATACTGACGCATACATTGATCGAAAAGATGGCGCCCAACGTGTGTATCCACTGCAGAGAGTGGATCGTCTAACAGGTAAATATCCGCCTGACGATAAACAGCTCGTGCCAAATTTATACGAGCCTTCTGACCACCCGACAATGAGGCACCACGTTCCCCCACAATGGTCTTGTCTCCATAGGGCAGTAGCTCAAAATCTCTTTCCAGGGCACATTTCTTCACTGTCAAGTTGTAACGTTTCTTGTCCATCGGTTGACCGAAAAGTATGTTTTGACGTACTGTCCCAGTGAAGAGCCAAGGTTCTTGTGAGGCATAGGAAACAGTTCCATTAACTGTGATGGAACCCGATGAGGGTTGTAACTCTCCGAGTATGGATTGTATTAATCTGAATTAAAGGTGGAAACAGTTGTAATTTTGGTCATTTTGAATACGGACTAAATAGGGTAG